TGAATTAGCCCATAAATAATATCTAGTGCCTTATCGTTGTGTCCAGCACTTGTTTTCTCAGCTTGGGTCCATTCATTTTCAGGTTTCGTCACTCGAGTTTCATCCTCACTGGTACTGGCTTTGGTTGGATGTTCCCAGCCTGTTACAATGATACACCATACTGCTTCACCTTGTGCTTTGAGATGAGTGCGTGTGCGCACCTTCCAATATGCATAGTTGTCACCGACTAGTTGGGGAAGAGCTTTAGTGTGCTCCATTCTGTAACACTCAATAACCCATGAGATCGAACAATTTAACAAAATCAGAAATAATAATAATAACCGCTGAAGAATTGAGATCAAGGGGCACGGAGTAGCCAGATCGTCAGACTAATAACTTAAGTCTGGTAGCTCTGATACCAAATGAAAAAGCCTGTGTATCTTGAAATCAATTTAACACTAAGGATTCTACTTGATTTTATGTTACGAGACAATTTCGCTGTTTAATTAAATCAATTTAATCAACGTATAAATAACGAAATTGAAAGCATAAATAAAGTAAAGACACAGTAGAATTGTTACGCAGTTCGGAGCTCCTTCTCCTACGTCTGCGGGGCAACCCACGTCTGCCCAATCCACTAGATGTTCACCACAGAGTATTACAAGAGGTAACGACAAACGGCTCACAGCTTTTACCACTACAACTCTTCTAAAACACCTATTCAGGACTGAACCGTGCATGCCATAACCATCTTTGGTGTAGCACTTCAGCTGTCACAGGTACTGATTTGAAGTACAGATTTAAATCACAAATAAGATAATCAATATTAAAGCAGTAATATAGGAAGCTTGCGTATGTGATCAGAATTTCAGAATTGGCAACTTCCTCTTTCGTTTTCCTTTCCTTATATACTGTACGCAACTCTCATTCATCCAATCCTTGATTGTAGCTTTCACATGTGGCTTGAATTCTTCTCAACCACATCTTCTTTAATTTGAGATCTTCAGACTTGCTCTTTGTCCAATTCATTAACAATAAATCTCCACCACACATTTTAGCTTGGTCTAATAATACTAATTACAAATCATTTTAATTAACATTACATATTAATAAAATAAACTAATAAATTAGTCAATCTAATGTGTACTAATTTGTACACTTACATAATAGATATCAAAGGGGAAACGGCGCTTTTGGCCCCTCAATTGTTTTAGTTTTGAAAATATAGCCCCTCTCAATTGATTTGAGTAAACTTAACCCTTTAATTGTTCAAAATGTAGCACATTTGGTCCCTCATGTTATATAATTAGAATTATTTTTATTAATTTATATAATTTATTCATTCAAAAATAAAAATATTTTTATAATAAATAAATACATAAATTAAAAATTTAAAAAAAATTGAAAAAAAAAAAAAGAAGAAGAAGAAGAACAGCCACCGGCGAGAAAACGCCCTCGCCGGTGGCTGTTCTTCTTCTTTTTTTTTTTTTTTTTTTTTTTTTTTTTGAATTTTTTAATTTTTTATTGCTGTTCAAAGTTGGCAAGGAACAGAGCAGCTACATGATGAGGGTGGACGATTGCAGCAGTATACAAATAACAAAATAATGATTCCATAGAATGGGAAAAAATGCAGTTTTAAATAAACATAATGATTCCCTTCTCTTCCTCCTGCATGATTTTGCAGAATAAATCATGGGTTTTAAGATTAAAGAATTGAAGTTTGGGGAATTGAAGAAAATCAGACCTTTGAGTTGTTATCTTCTGCGGCATAGGAATCTTCATCGTCTTCTTCTTGCAACACTTGATCCCACCATTGTCTCATCTGTCCCAGTTTATCTTTCATCCTCTTAAGCCTCTGCAATTAAGATTTTTGGATCAATTTTCAGAGAATATATAATATATAGTAGACCTCAAAGTTATTAGTGTTAACCTTGGTATTGGGACTCCCTTGAGCGGAGCTGCTAGGTGGGGATTTGATGGGTTGTGGCGCCACCGGAGGTCTAGGCGGAGAGGGGGCAACCGGCGGCCGGAACTCTAATGCGACGGTGGGGTCAGATAAAGATCTATGGAGAGGAGGGATTGGCGGCCGATCCCGAGACTCAGAATTCTTCACCGGAGATGGTGCAATATTCCAAAAACAGCGAGAAACAAAAGGCTTGAAATATATTCCAACCACCATGGCACCTCCTTTTCAAAATCCTGCACGCAAAAAAAAAAAAAAAAAAAAAAAAAAAAGAAGAAGAAGAAGAAGAGCCACCGGCGAGGACAGCCGGTGGCTGTTCTTCTTCTTCTTTTTTTTTTTTTTTTTTTTTTTTTTTTTTTGAATTTTTAATTTATGTATTTATTTATTATAAAAATATTTTTAATTTTGAATGAATAAATTATATAAATTATTAAAAATAATTCTAATTATATAACATGAGGGACCAAATATGCTACATTATGAACAATTAAAGGGTTAAGTTTGCTCAAATCAATTAAGAGGGGCTAAATTTCCAAAACTAAAACAATTGAGGGGCCAAAAGCGCCGTTTCCCCGATATCAAATTAACCAAGAGGAAGCATTCCTCAAGGTCATTCGACACTTTTAGAGCATCCATTTCTTGTTCTTTCACCCCGGGAACATTCTAGGTCAATAACCTTGTTAAGCCAAAAGTTGCTAGGTCTTGGAACATGCAACATCGTTGCCATTCCCACCATTCGATCCATTATTAACATTATTATTTTCGTCCCCATTATTATTAATCGGCAATATGGAGGAAGACATTTCATCAAGCAAATAAGGTTTTAAGCTTGTTGGATATAATTTCGAAATTCAAGCGCAAATGAAACATTCAAGTTACAAATTCAAGTCGTGTGTCACACATACTTTCCTTAAAATCTTATTTGATATCTCCCAAAGGTGCTAGGAGCATTGTGTCCTAGGTTTTTAAAGATAAAACAAATTAAATTTTGGCTAAATAGTTGAGCATTCAAACTATTAAGTCACGGAAAGCAACATAACCTGCATTGGTTGCCAATCATGCTCATTATGAGATTTGATTTGCACCCCCCTCCTCCACCCCCACCTCCTCTTACGTGAAAGAGAGAGCATTTATGCTATACAATTCAAGCTCCTCTTAAAAGAGAGCTGTATTTATACTAGTAAAATTCACTTCCCTGTTCCAATGTGGATAAAGACTTCTTCCAACCCAAATTGGTATACTTTAAGAATTAATTACTTATTCATTCAATATCTATTTTGAACGTACAATATATCAATTTTTTCGACTAACTTAGAAGAATGTGAATCCACTTTGACCCAAGCCAAATCAAATGTATACTCTACTGATATTTGTACCACAAAATAACCACTTACAATGTCATTTTTCCAAAAAATTTCAACACTTGAAACTCTTTATATTTTTTTAAAGGTATAACCAAAACTCACCTTTATATAGATTTGGTATAGATATGCTTCAAAATATCGCCAGCTTCTTTGAAATAAATTTAAAACATAATTTTGCTTGCTAAAATTATTACTATTACTGTAATACAACTAATTGTTTTGTATGACATTCTCATTAATAATATCTGTGACCATTTTTTAGGAGTAAAAGAGAACAAATAAAATGTTCACTTTTCTCTTTCAATTTTTTTTTTTCTTCACTTATCTTAAAATTTATGTTTACGATAAATTATAACCATTAATGAGAGGAGTTTAAAATTGTAAAGGTCGGTTATAACCATTAATGAGAGGAGTTTAAAATTGTAAAGGTCGGTCTGCCTCAACTTGAACTTAAAAAAATTAAACGTCGCCTGAGAGATTCGAACTCTCGCCGGGAAACCCCATGTACTTAGCAGGCACACGCCTTAACCACTCGGCCAAAGCGACTTTACGTTACAGCTTGCTATGGTTTTTATAAATACAAAGCAGCCTGTGTTGCACCATTAACATAAAGTAAGGTTAAACCTTTATTTGACTGAAATCTTTTGGACAGTTCCATTAAACCATGCCACCAATGTTCCCATCAACCTTATGTTTCCTATCCATTGTCTTAGGACTGTATTCCGTGATTTCGTCCAAACTATTATACATCTAAAAAAAAATTATAATCTTTAAAAGTTTGAAATTATTTGATTCAAAATTTTAAATTCTTTAAAAGTTATCTGGTATTTGATTAGACGCTTTAATGACACGTATGGTTCGCGTAATAGGCCTAAGTGACATAACATTCCCAATAATAAGCATATTCCTTTGTTTTGTAAACTTTTTTATTTCCGGGAATGGTTCATTCCCCCTACCGAGGGAATAACTATTACTAGGGCCCCCCCTGGTATGAACCTATTCTTGAGTTCTCAAGAATAGATTTTATATTTTATTTTCTATTTTACCCTTTCTCTCTTTGTCTCTATTTTTGCATTTCTTTCGACCAATTGCCGCCCCGGATGGACAGGAAACCATGGCCAAGCCGAGAGCACCGCCACCTACCCCTCCTCTGTTCGCCTCCTCTATTCGCCGGACGGTGATCGACTGAGCGTTAAATCCCGAAAGTCCCCGATCATCAATCTGAGAAGTGGCGGGTCGTCTCTAAGCATCCCTAGCATCATCCAAACCTTCAGGTCCTCCATGTAGTGGCCGCGACGCTGGCAACACCTCCACTGATGAAGGTGCGATCAAATTTTTGGACAACACTGGAGCCCTCCGATCGACATCCGGTCATTGGCGAACGACCTCGACGCATCCCCAACTCCAACCAAGCCCTCCGATCGTCCATGCAATGGCAGGTGGTCTCTAAGCATCCCTAACATCATCCAAACCTTCTCTCATGAGGGGGCTGTCGAACAGAGCCAAGACCACCCTCCCCATCATCTCAAGAGCCTTGGGCTCGCCGGAAACTCACCAGTGGGGCCCACCCAGCCAGAAAGCCATTAGTTCTCGACGTTGTACCAATCATAAACGCGATCGAAGCTCCGTTGTCGCCAGAGCGAGGGTGTCACATGGGAGATTACGAACAGAGTTCTGACCTAGATGACAAGCAATCACGACCCCTCTGATGCCATCGCAACCATCCCTTCCGGCGCTAGGCTCCTCAGCCCGGCGGCTTGCAGCGCACTGACTCCCGAAGAATCTGGAGGCTTCCGATCATCCAATTGAGTAGCGTCGAATGATCTCTGCACATCCCCAGGGCCCTCCAAATCATCTGATCCTCCATGTAAGGTCTGAGACGCCGGCAAAGAGCCAAAGACTCCTTCGACGAAGGTACAACCAAAATGCTGGATATCTCAGGGGGCCTCCAATCATCCCTTCGATCATTGGCGAACGACAACGACCCACCCCTGACTCCATCCCCGTCACCCAATCGACGATCCACCGGCTGGATTGCCGGCAAAGGGGCAATCGACGAAGACCTAGGGTTGTCGCGATTCATCGCAACATTCTGATTTACTTGTAGAAAGAGACAAAAATCCTAATAATAATAATCATAATAATATTATATATTTTGTATAAGGATAGTTATGTATTTTGCACATATATTATATTTCTATTCCTTAAACCAACCAAACTCCGGAATAACATTCCTAAAGTCCATTCCTTTACCGAACCAAACAATAGAATATAATTTCTATTCTATTCCTTACCTATTCCATTCCTTATGGAACAATATTCCTATTCCCTCAAAATTCATTCCGCGAACTAACAGCGCGTTTGGTTCACAGAATGAATTTGGAGGGAATAGGAATGTTATTCCACATGGAATGGAATATGTAAGGAATAGAATAGGAATTGTATTCTGTTGTTTGGTTGGTTGAAAGAATAGACTTTAGTAATTGTATTCCAGTGTTTGGTTGGTTAAAGGAATAGAATTGGAATAGGTTTTAAAGACATAAATACCCTTATACAAAATAATAATAATAATAATAATAATAATAATAATAATAATAATAATAATGATTATGATATACTGAACGTTATATATATATATATATATATATATATATATATATATATATATATATATATATATATATTTATATTTATATATTTATTTATTTATATTTATATTTATATTTATATTTATATACATGTATATGCATGTGTGTGTGTGAGAGAGAATAACAATAACATTAACAATAATAATAATAATAATAATAATAATAATAATAATAATAATAATAATAATAATAATAATTATTATTATTATTATTATTATTATTATTATTATACAAATACATATTTATTTTTATATTTATTTTCTCACTTATCCCACATCGGTTGGAGAAGTAAGGAATGGAGCCTTGAGGCTCTGGCTCCTATAAAAGGAGCCTCAAGACTCCATAATTTCAATTGCAATGCTCATTCGCTAGGCAAGCTTGCACTGCCCATCCGCTAAGCAAACTTGCAATGCCCATCCGCTAGGCATGCAGATGAGCAGACTACTTAATTTAGGAGCTAAGGCTCCATAATTAAGGAGTCTTATACAGTTAATTTATATATATATATATATATATATATATATATATATATATATATATATATATATATATATATATATATATATATATATATATAGGCGAGTTCAGGTGCGGCAATGTCTTACGGTGCGGCGATTTCTTACGGTGCGGCAACACCAATAGTTCAACAAATATGCACCATCAACGTTAGGAAAATACACCACACAAAACAGAGTAAACAGAGCCCTGCATCACCAAACACACACCATTAGGTGTGAGTAAAAACACCATACACTGTTCAGAAATACACCATTGGGGGTGATGAGTTATATGGTGTATTTTTTTGAGTTTGTTAGTGTATTTTGTGATGTTTTATTGCATTTTATTGTGGTGTGTTTTTATTACACTGTTGGTGTATTCTGGAATTCCGCCGCACCGCCGCACGGGAAGACCCCGCCGCATTTGAACTTTATATATATATATATATATATATATATATATATATATATATATATATATATATATATATATATAAATTATTTGTGTGTGTGTGTGTGTGTATATATACACACACACACACACACACACAAATAATTTATTTAAATATATATATATATATATATATATATATATATATATATATATATATATATATATATATATATATATATATATATATATATATTTATTGATAGATTGATGGATAAAAATTATAATTAATTAAATATATACATTTATATAATACATTATATTTATTAAATAAATATAAATATTATATAATGTGCAAAGGGTATTTTTGGTATTTGTGATATAAAAGCTATTCCCAAGGGCATGGGAATAGCTAATACCAAGGCCCCCCTAGGAATGGCTATTCCCCTTGCGAAAGTAATAGCCCATTCCTAGGCATGCTATTCCCATGACAAAATGATCCAACCAAGCGATGGAATAGGTCTATTCCAAGGAATGTTATTCCATTCCTGACCTATTCCATGCATGAACCAAACATGCCATAAACGTGCTGTAAGAGTTTTTTAATATTAAAGTTTTGTATCATTTGTTTTGTGTCACATTATCTCACTGTGGAGCAATAAAAATCATTTCCTTTAATTTACATAACTGATGCATCATCTTATCTTCTCCCAAATGTTGAATTCCCAACGCACCCTACACCCCGGCCCAACAGAATATTTCGAAGAATGTAAATCACGGTAACTCAATGACTCAACAGACAGGGCCAAATGTCGGTGCGCGCAAGAGATTTTACCTACTTTGGACATAATCCCCACACAGTCGCTGCTGAGGTTCAAACTTTGGTCTCATCTTATCTATAATCACACTTGGTCAAGTTCAAATTGGATGAGTACTGCACCATTGGTCTGAAATGCAGAAGGAGATCCAAGAAAATTGCTTACTTTACAGTAATTGCAAAAATCATGCATCATGGTTTGTTCTGGTCCTGTTATTCGAACTGGATCATGCATTATACCATTTGATGGATATATTAGAGACGGATCCGAACCAAACCGATCCAAGGAGAAGTGGAGACGACCCGGAGGACGACCTAGGCTTGGGGCGGCCTTGCCTCGAGGCGGCCTCGGCCCGGGGTGCCCTCGGCTAGATGATGAAAGGTCTTACACTGATAAAAGTTTGAGAGATGAAATGTTAATTTCATCACTACTGTCATATTTTCATGTGTTATCTGTAGTAAACACTGAGAATATATCTTTAGATAAAGTTTTCAATTACACAACTTAAAAGAAAAATTCTTTGTTGAGCAATGCGACAATTTTGTATATATTCTTGTATCTCATAAATCTTAATCTTGTATTCCCTATTGCTTGCAAATGGAGATTAAAGACTTATATAGGAATGATTTAAATGATCCAATTTTTTATTCCATTCTTTCTTTTGTAATTTTTGTTGTATCACATAAAGTATTACAAAATATAGGCATTTTTTTCCAAGACTTACTTTCTTGTACATTTACAATTTTTTATTTTATTTTTTTATATGTAATGTATTAATTATTTTAGAAAATTTTAAATTGTTGATCAACATCTCTCTAATTATTTATATTATATTTTATAATTTTTTCATATAATAGTTATAAGATCAATTGTTTTAAATTTATTTTGATTTTGTAATTTAACAATTAGATTTGTTTAATGGCAATTTTGTCACACATTACACGTATTTATAACTAGTATTATTGATTAATGTAAATATGTTTGTTCATTATTGGGCATTTTTATCACACATTGCATGTGTCTGTTCTATACTTTCTCTAACTATTACAACCCAAATAGTCAACACCGCACCACCAGGATTCGATCCTGTAACATTCCCTCAAAGGGGGCCACAGAGATGCCATCTGAGCGCAAGGTGTTTATAACTAGTATTATTGATTACTATAGATATGCATACATAATTCTAATTCTAATGTAATATATTAGATAAACTAGTATGATACCCGTGCGATGCACGGGACCACAATTTAACATTAATGAAAAAATGTTTGTTGTATTGTAAGATAACCATTTTTTCAACTTAGCATTACTTTGGATTTAAGAAATGGGATATAAACATACTTACCAGTAACGATTGTTATTGGTCTAACACGTCATAAAGAATTTGAAATTACAAATTGTTAAATACCTCTTTGTAAACAACGTGGTGTTTGAATTACAAATTGTTAAATACCTCATTACAAATCAAAATTTTGAGCCCTTTAGGATTGCTCACCATAGATGCGGCTACATATAATTATCTGTGTACAAAAACTGGCTTCTTGAGTAGCAATCCAACATGGGATAATGTCTGTCCCTGACTTTTGTTCATAGTCATTGCATATGACATCATTAATGTGAATTGTTTTCTTTTAAATTTGAATGGAAATATTGGATCTGAAGGAGTCATAGACATTCGAGGAACCAACACCCTAGTACCTGCATGGTCACCTGTAAATGTTTTTGCTTCTATGACATGTTATGCCAACTTAGTGACTATCAATCTAGTACCATTGCATAACCCGATGGAGTGATCTATATTTCTCGGTAGCATCACAGGTGAGCCAACCTTTAACGTTAAATAGTGGTTAGGTATGCCAGAAGCTCGTATGCCATTAAGGAATTCAGGGGTGTGTACATCGGACAAAAGTCCCTCGCTGGACTCAAACCTACAGACCATATCGCAACTCAAATATGTCTTGCTCTCGGCAACATGGATGTCACTCATGTATTGGTTGATCGCATTAACTACGTCTAGAGTTGGGGCCAGAATAGCACGATTTTCTAAAAAAAAAACTGTTATCGCCCTTGTCACTTGTAAACATCGGGAAAGTGTTTTCAATAATAGTGGCAATGGGATCCCCATTTGTGGACAATAACATGTCGGGTGGGATATCAACTTCTACAGAACCATCATTTTGACCTCCAATCGTCCCATCTCCAATTGCTGCAATCCATTTTGCAAAATCTTCAAGTTGTTTTATATCAGCGCCAACACCTGTATTAATCAAACAGAGATTTTTTGTCAAATTTTTAAAACCTTGAAATTGTCCCATAGATAAGAAACATTGATTGTGGCAGCAACAATGTCTTATCTTGATCCTTTTGGGACTACATGCAATATATGTCTAAAGTCACCACCCAACACAACCGTTTTTCCACCAAACGTTTGGTTCGCACTTGTTGGATTAACAAAACATAGTAAATCTCTTATTGTTCTATCTAATGCTTCAAAATAGTGGTTATGCATCATTGGTGCCTCATCCCATATGATTAATCTACACTTGATGATTAATTCAGCCAAATTACTACCAGGCCAGATGTTGCATGTCGAGTCCTCGTTCAGAGATATGGGGATTGCAAACCTTGAGTGTGCCATTCTTCCACATGGTAAAAGTAACGAAGTTATACCTCTTGAAGCGACGTTAAGTACTATTCACCTTTAGAACGCAGATACGAAGATAATGCCTTCTATACGAATGTCGTCCTGGTTCCTCCGTAACCGTACACAAAAAACAAACCCCCACCGTTTGTTAACGCATCTCCAATGATTGTATCATAAACAATCCTTTGTTCATTGGTTAGCTTACTTGACAAATTAACACTTTCCTCAGCAAGTGTTGCACGATCGTCAGATAACTCCTCAAGCAACAATCGGTTACCACACAAAATTGGTGACTCAAAGTTCGGCAAAGGCATAGGAGGAAAATCTTTCAACGATCTATTGTGAACTTGCAACACCTTTTCCAACTCAATCAAAGCAAAGTTTTTCTTCTCATCATCATTTAAAACCAAATCTACAATGAATTGTAGTTTATTTATTAATAAAGTATGCCATTAAATTATTATATTAATTAATTAATTAGTAAATACCATACCTTGATTTAAAAGTAACCTACGTTGGTTAAATTGTGCATCTTCAGCTAAGTGGTGCCACACCTCATTCCATACATGCTCTGGCCTATTTAGAGAATTAGTTATCAACAATGTCACAAAGAGTTGTCTCATCGATTGAGCCGATGACCAATAACTTGCTTCCTGAATTGCACCAATGTATTCTTTATCTTCATCTAACAACCCCCGTGCAGCATGCATCTCTAAATGTAGAATACTCAACCCCATCAAATGTACGAATGTCTTTGAAAGATGTACGGCCACGAACTATATTATGAAAGCATATAAGATCATATAGTTACCCAGGTGGTATATAAAAAATACGACCAATTGAAAACCCCTTTTTCCTTGGATGCCACTTTTGAATATCATTTTTTCCAAACAAACTTATTGGGCATCTCAATATAGGTAAACACTCGAGCATCTTCATATTTCCTATTTGCATCAAACCACCCTAAAAACGAACTTTGACCAATAGTAAATCTGTTTATCACATCTGTGATACTATCATCATCACGGAATACAACAGACTGACAATCTGGGAGGTGGAAGCTTAATCTCTCCACCGATGGTGTCCTATATTGCACATCAAAGGTTAGAAGACGCCATGTAGCCTCACACGCAGAGACACAACGGCAATCATAGTACATATTTATCTCATCAATTACTTCATTGCCCTCTAAGTCAACTGTGCTCTTATAGAATTTGGCTGTTACACGATCATTGTCTTTGTTAACATACTTGAACAAATATTTTATAGATCTAGATTGGTTACACCACTCAACGTTCATGTGTGCCCTATGCTTCATCAACAAATCTTTAGTGTGGTACAACGTATCTATTGTCCAACGGAACACCGTTTTTTGTTACGGTCATGCCATCATCACGTCGCCTATATACCGGGTACCCATCATCCTCCAAACTGGAGCAGTCAGCAAACTCCTTTGGGAAGTGCTTTGAACACCTTCAATTCCGTCTACCATGCAAGATGAGTTCTTTCTTGCAGATCTACATGGACCATGTATCATGAATTCTCCAACTACATCGTAGTACTCTTTATCGTGATCCTTGTTAGGTATTTCAGCTGATATGATAATGTCCATGTAGTCATGTGAACTGGTAAGCTCACTCCTATCTGGGAAAAGTAGGAAGACCCCACCCCGCTTCTGGAATTCGATGGTGTATATTACTTGAAAAAATAAAAATTAATGTACACATATATTAGTGATATAGTTTCAAATAAACTATAATTATAAAAATCAATAATTAATCTAACATGTACATTACCTGCTCTAATTGCTCCAAAAATTTTACCTGCTTTGAAATCTTTGATTAGACAATCAAATTTCATTTTGAATATCCGGTACACAATATCAGGCCTATCTTTAGCTCTTAAGTTCCTCTTATTAACGTACCCTTGTATTTCTAGCAACTTAGGGTTACACGTAAAAGTAACAAACAAATTGGGGTACCCTATCCACCGACAGATTGTCATCGCATCTTGATAATTCTGTATCATGTAGCGGGCCTCACCTGTAAAGCTAGATGGTAGGATTATACGTTTGCCTTGTGTGCTAGGATCAATTTCTCCCCTAGTCAACGTATTTGACAGTCCTTTGTATGCCTCGCACCTCAGTGTTTTTTGGTTGGTCCTAACAAAAATAAGTCTACCCGACTCCACCATGGTGTAAGCATCCACTAAGAACTGCTGGAACAATCTCCTACCATACAAAATTGTTGAGATCTCACTCGTTCTTTCATGAATTCGAAAGGGGAAGTACTCCCTCAGGGAGATACGGTGCCTTGAAAATTTTTTACTGCTTGATGTCCCAGCAAATGGGATATCTTCCCTGTAAGGAAACAGTATTGGATATTGTAGCGGCAAGTAAGCGGGATTCAGCTCGCTTATCCTTTTCAATGCTCCAGATTTTGCCTCAACTAAAATATCGCGTTCACCTATTGATGGGTTTAGATCACCAACAATCAAAGCTGCAACTTCTGACGCTGTTGGTAAGTTGTAAGTTTTTGCATCTTTAGAACGTTTACCAATTAATCTCATCTTTATCTCCACTCTTGGATTTGCTTCGATCTCAGACCTTGCATTGCGAAATGACTTTACCAAGACATTGTTCCGATTAATGACCTCTTTAATGTCAGCAATAACATCAATGTGAATTTTAGATTTATCATCTCCCCGCCTACATAAGAATTTAAAATCTTATGAGATCAAGATGGTGCAGTAATGACATTTATATGCCAACTATTACACATGAGATGAATTACACATACGTAACTGAGAAAATACGATTACTTATCTCATTTTGTGTGTCATGAATATACAGCTGTGTAAATTTCGGCTTGCTACCGTTTGGCGGCAATAAGCTGCCTATCAGGTGAAAATTCTGGCCATACATATGAAAACTGGAGCTGCACTGCCATTGTTTATGGAATTGTCAATCTTCCCACCCATTGATGTGAAACTAAACATGTTATTGTAAGACCTAATGTTCTCTAGGAAACATTTTCTTTTTTCACCGTTAGTGAAGAACAAATCAAATAACTTTTTAGGTGATGTTAGGACAATAAAGTATATTATTGAGTAATGAAGATATTGCTACATAGGCACATAATATTTTTAAACGATAACATATATTAATTAATTTAATATTTAATATTTAATTTCTAAAATTTAATATTAATATCAAATAAATATTAAGTATATTACTTTTTTTTTTCAGGATAAAAACTTACATACACTATCCAACCAAGGGTTGGATGAACCACTAGATAAACCAAATAAACTACATTAGGGAGACTATGAGGAAGAGGCTCAATTGAGAGCTTGTTCGTAAGAATCAAATTCGTAACTTTAATATAATAATGTATTATTATGCACACACCACACTTATACATTGCACTGTGCACACATTCATATTGAAATATATATATATATATATATATATATATATATATATATATATATATATATATATATATATATATATATATATATATATATATATTATGCTACTGCTCCTGTGCATTCACCCTATTATATGAGTCCATATGGACAGATCTGAGCCATTGAATACTTGAGATCAATGGCTTAGATTTGACGAACTTTGCAATTTCGCAATTGTGTAACTGTGCACTTCACTTGCACAGTTGGCGAAATATATATATATATATATATATATATATATATATATATATATATATATATATATATATATATATATATATATATATATATATATATATGATGCAGATCAAATAAAAAAAGCTCAACAGGTAAAAAATGCGGATGATTTCTAGCCTTAGATGCAATCCAAATTAACAGTCCAAATTGAATTTTAATTAAAAACTTGCGGTGGCATATTTGTAATTTTTAGTAAAATAAGTCAGTTTGTGTTTTCTTTCCGAGTACACATTTGTCATTCTTCGAGTGCACATTTTCCATTCATCAAATGCATACTTTTTCTTCTTCGAGTGCATCATTTTTATTTCCATACTTAGTTTCTATTTTGAGTGCACATCTTTGTGCCTTTGAGTAGTGCAAATCTTTTGGTCTTCAAGTGCACGTTTTGTAGCCTTCAAGTGCATGGTTTCTTTCTAAGAGTTCATAATTAATTTTCTTTGAATTTTCCCTTTTAGTGTTTTTTTTTTCCTCTCTCTCCATTGCCTTCTAGTGATCCTCTTTATTCTTTCAAGTGCTCAATTTAATGCCTAAAAGTGTATGTGTCTTACTATTGTGTAAAAATTTAAAAAATAAAAACAAAACTTAGCATTCAATTGAACCCTTTTTTCCTTCGGTGCAGATGCCTTCAAGTGCACAGTTTTATGCCTTCAAGTGCATGTTTCTTTGCCTTCAAGTGCACAACTTCTGGACAGTATTTGTTATATCTTGTGCATTCTTTTCAATGACATATAACTAAATTTTTAATGAAATTTGTGAGATTTACAAGCGACTTGTATGGGTAATTGTTTTAATAGCACTTAAGTTTAATAACATCCCTTTTTGGTACCATAAATTGCATCAATTGCACATCTATTTGCCTTCGAATGCAATTTTTTTACCTTCAAGTGCACATTTTTTTTACCTTCAAGTGCACCAACCGCATTTTCGCATGGAAAGTGACATGTGCACCAGATCCTAAACCTATACACACACACACACACACACACACACACACACACACACACACACACACATTTATATATTTCTTATTTTACCTCTAATTAAATTTATTTGCTATTTCACCACCACCACCACCGCCACCATCACTGCCACCGCCGCCACCACCACCACCATCGCTATCACCCCACAACCACCACCACCACCACCACCCCACTGATGAGCATATTTTATACCTTGATTTAAATAAGATTTTATACGTTAGTTTTATTATTTATATTTTATATTTAGTTTATTTTGTTATATTAAGATTATATAACTTAGTTAATAAATTTAAGTATAGTTAAGCTTATATTAATTATTAATATGAATAATTAGGTTTTGTGGGTCCCATGTGATTGGTGTTTAGCTTAATTCACTTTTCTTTCTTTTCTTTCTGCACGCCGATTAGCACTAGGATATACATAATTACTTTTACTTTTTTTCTTTCCGTTTTGTTCACGTACGCAGGACGCAGGTTGCGGACGCGAGGTCGAAGACGCAGCGCAGGAAGGCTTCGAACGGTGACTTTGTGCGATTCATTCGCGGAAGATTTCTGGAGGAAATTAAACAAAGTCTTTTGAAGATGAAGTTGAAGAGAAAGATGCGGTAAGAGCATAAATTTTAGGAAAGATTGTTGATCTGAAACCCTATAAAAGGAGAGCTATTCTGATGTATTTGGGGCATATTGTTCTTTCATATTCTTAATATTTTAGAATAGTTTGATCTATGTTTATCTAAATTACCTTAATCTGATTCGAGGGATTTGAAGTTTTAGTTGTGAATTTAGGGAGGTTCTATTTCAATTAATTTGTTGGATTCATGTACTTCTTGCTCTTTCAGAGTTAATTTTTCAGGAAGACTGATAATAAATTAAATTGACGACTTAGTTTATTATTGTTTATCCTATTGCTATCTATGAGTTTATGATCCGTAATTGTCATAAACGATTAGACCGAGTAGCTTGTATTAATTATATTGCTGTGATTAGTGCACAAAGGACAGGAAGACTAAGTTGCAGGTTGTAGCTATCTCAATCTGTGATTTAGACTTAGTTATTTTCTATTAAAGTGTAATGATGTTATTGAGTGAATATGGAATGCTATCGTCCCCAGTTTATTCAGTAACAGATGTTGGTTTGAATGGTTGGTTTGAATCAATTAATTCAGGGATATCAAAGGCTAGTTATGGCTATCCTAATTAGGCTTGTGCATCGGACGGGTTTGGACGGTTCGAGTTCGCGGAAGGCTAATTCGTTCGGACTTCGGATACCCTATACTAGCACCTAACTGTTTTTTTTACCACCTAATTCTGTCGGATATTCTTCCGAATTACCGTTCAGATATCCGACTCAACCGTCGGATAGATCGATTATTGTTGATAAAAGTGTAATTGCAAAAATAATAAATTTATTTAACAAAAAGAACTAATTTTTAAAACTTAACCACTAAAGTAGTCTAAACCACAGAACTACTTAAGTAGTAAGTGTGTTATACACTTCACATGTTCACAGTTACAACTTACAAATTAAAATTTACATTCATTACTCATAAGCATTTACTGATTACAGACTAACTGACTAAGCAATACAAAAACACAAAATAACTAAACTTGAAAGTCCAAATGTCCAATGTCCAAACTCCAAAGTCCAAGCCACCAAGTCTCAGCAGTCAGCAACTCAGCATTCATCAAAAAGAATACCAGTAGGCAGTAGACCCTAATAATATGATAATAACCTAATAATATGATAATAACCTATTTGGCTATTCCTCTTCCTGATAAGTAAAAACACAAAACTTTTATAAGCTTTAAAATATATAAACAATTGAATATGAGATGAATACATTATACATTATAGATAATTTAAAAATTGTATATAGAGTGCTCAGATTGCTATTTTTCCAGATCAACCAAGGATTGGGGGAAATTACTCAATATGAGTATGGCACAAAACACCACACTACATAGGCAACATGCCAAACCCAATTCTATATATTCAGATAACATGGTGGAAGCATCATCATTGCACATTTGCACAAGGGGCCAAAAACAATTAAGTAATTAACAATAAGTCAATAACAGAGATATGGATACTTGAGAGAAGTGAAGCCATATACATTACCACTTTACCAGACACCATTCATCATTCAAGTGCCAAATGCTCAATGACAGCAACATTTAAAATGTCACCAAGCCATTGAACACTTTCCAATTCCATTGCCTAGCCAAGGAATGAGGGCCTGAGGGACATTGATATTTGATACACATACACTGTAACACTGATGCAGTCATACACACATATCATATAATAATCATTGATCAAATATCAAAATAAATACAGAAATGCTTTATGGAATAAAAGTTATAAGTATATAACCATACAAGTATTGTAGGCAATAATCCAACTCCAGTTAGGCCTGTGCTGCACAACTCTGCAAAAAGAAAAAAAACACAAGTATAATTAAAAGAAGTATTAATTTATAATAAATATTTATAAATTCTAAGTTAAAATGTAAATTTAAGAGATTTACCTTTCTCAATCCTTTCAACATCTTCAATATTTTCTTCAACAGAGATTGGTTGATTGGCTAACCTCAACCAATCCTGTGCACACACAAGTGCCTCAACAATCTTAGGAGTTAGGGAACTCCTAAAGGCATCTAGTACTCTCCCACTGGTACTGAATGCTGATTCAGATGCAACAGTAGAGATTGGAACAGCAAGTACATCCCTTGCCATTTTAGATAACACATGGAACCTATCAGAATTCAGCTTCCACCATCTTAGAAGGTCAAAAGAATCATCATCATCCACAATGACCTCAGACAAATACACCTCCAACTCAGTTTTTTTCATTGACAAATCACCAGTACCCAATTTTTGTTTCTTAATCTGGGATTTCAATAATGCTTGAGGTTTCCCAACAGAAACACAATCAGAAATTATAACTGAAGGGGCTGACTTGGCAGAATTTTCAGGAACAGACTGGGCAGGAAAATAGGACACATAATCTTGAAATAACTCCTTAAGGCCAACAACAACCTTATCAAACATTGTTTTACCTTTGTCCTCACCATATAACTGGGTAAACTGAATGGGCATACATTCTATTTTTTCCCTGGGGTCTAAGATATTTGCATAGAATATGAGAAAGTTCGCTATCACCCCACAACCACCACCACCACCACCCCACTGATGAGCATATTTTATACCTTGATTTAAATAAGATTTTATACGTTAGTTTTATTATTTATATTTTATATTT